CGGGAGGGGAGTCAGGCGTGAGGCCGCCCCGCGGGTGTTCGGGCGCGCACCGGCTCCGGTCCCGGCTTTGCTTCCAAGTTGTCCGAGTCGGTGAAAAGTGCCCGAGCCCCGCAGGTGGGTCTGGGCTGTAGCTGCTCTCGTCTCGAGTGGCGTTTGCACTATGCTTTTCATTTTCTTTTTTTTTAGCTTGTAATTTTATATATATACACATGTAATTGGCTTTTTCATTAATAATATGTTACCTTGGTAGCAATGGATTCCAAATTTTATACTTGGTGTTTTTGAGGTATGTGTGATGAGATGGGGGCAGGGGGGAAGGTATCAGATGTCTGTTATGGTTTGTAACGGAAAGTGAGTCTGTGGGATTAAAGAAATGAGTGAATAAGGTGGATACTTCTAGCTAGATTACACAAATCTGTATACTCACTTATGCAGGATGATTTAGAAAGTTTCTTAGTAAAGTGCTCTCAAATTCTCCAGATTTATTTTATGGAAGTGCTCCTTCCATATCACACGATGTGCTCCTACATGTGATAGCAGAGAAGGCACAGGGAAAATGAAGTGGTGCTAAGATGACCTCAGTGTAGGACAGCAAGCAACCCCATCCTGTGTTCCATCTGTGCTGACAAGTGCTGGAGCTCCAGTCATTGTGTCCAAGCAGCTGCTTTGCCATATCTGTGCACCGAAGTTTTCCAGCTTTTCCTTAAGCTACTCTGAGTGGAGTTAATATAATTCTTTAAAACACAATTATGTAGTGTGGTAAGGACAGCACCTTGCTTCCCTGTTTATTTTTATTTGATGCTGTATAGCCAAAATTCTGGTCCAGCACCCATCTTTTCTGCCCACCTTAACTGTGGTTTGTTTGAATCCTCTGCAACACACAGAGGATCATTTTGTTGGTCCCTGCAGGCTGACTTGGCTGATGCTCCCACCAAGTGCAGTCTGTACCTTCTCACTAGGTCTGAACCGAATTTGTGTAGTGAGGAGATTGCAGGCACGGATCATGCTTCTTCACCTGTGAACTTCCATTTCCCATAAAGCCTGTTGCTTTGCTATTGCCCAGTACAGACCCTGCTCAGCATCAGGGAGGGGCAGAGCAGGGAATAACTCTTGAGCAATTTCACTAGGACACACTGGAGGCTTGATGTGCTCTGTAAAGGAGAGATGAGGTAACAGATTTTTCTACAAGATAATGAGGACCCTCGCCCATGTTGGCAGTGTAGGTTAGCTTGCCTCCTTGTTGTCTTTAAATAGGGAACAATAATATGTGTTCTCAGAATACAGTAAGTGCATGATGTTTTTCATAGCTTCAGAAATTCTGGGCAAAGTGCAGCGTTTCCTCAGAAGGAAAACAGCAGTGCCAACCTGTTAAAACATGCAGTGTATTGCTGGGACTGGGTTATGAGCATATTTGCATGATTTGGGAACAGTTTAAGAAAGTATTTCCTGGGCAGGCTGCTTCTCTCAGCATCCTGCTGCCTAACATATCAACGGCTCCAAGCAGAGCAGAGATCATGTCATGATCAGAAAGGAGTCTGAAGGATGGAGCTAGGATTCGATACTTAATTTGCTTTGGGGGGCATTTTTATAGGGGAAAACCCCACGGATTTTAGTATGGCCATAAAATTCTACAGCTGTAAAAAATGCCAAATGCACCTTTATTTTTCTTTTCTTTTTTTGTTTTGCTTTAGCACACATTAGCAGAATATAGGAGCCCAGAGCTGTTTGACATCATCCTGAGTTTATGCAGTCTGTTAGATATTCCCTGCTAAGTCGGTGACTTCCATGCATTGCCAGGTCTGGTCAGCAAGCTTACTTCAGGACTGAGTTTGTTTAATTCTTATTGGTATGGGATATATTGAATTTTAACTGTAGTAATTAAATGGTGTTGGATGCACCTGGAATTTAAGTAGCAGTGTCCAGGCCAATTTAAACAGTTTTCTCGAAGAAAGAGTGACCATCCTGTTGTCTAGCATGTGTTTCTTGAAAACATATTTCTTAGGTTTTAATTGCCTCATTATTGCTTAATAATTATAGCTAGTCAGTTTGAGCAGTGTCACTTGTGTCTTTTAATCACAATGATTTATTCTCAAATCAGAGGGAATATATGAAGGAGGAGGTGGAGGTGTCCGCTGAAGATGAGGCGACTGAATCGGAAGAAGACCTTGAATTTGGTGAAAGAATTGGATGCCTTTCCAAAGGTTCCTGAAAGCTATGTGGAAACTTCAGCGAGTGGAGGCACAGGTAGGCCTTATTGGGGTGCTGGTGTGATTCGTGTTGACTGTTAGCTCAGTCTAGCATGCTCTGGGAGTAGAAAGTTGAACAGGAGGAAGATGGGCATCTCTGTTCACTTGAAAATAGCCAAAATTGGTTTCTTGATTTCTTTTGTGGACTGACAGAGCTCATCTTCAAGTAAAGACATAGTATCTTACCCAAATAGATGTATTTGTCACTCATCTGAAGGGAGATTTTTGTTTAAAACTGGTGGGTGAGACTTAAACCAGTGTAAAGGTTCACTCTAAAAACCTGTAACCAGTTACAGTTGGAAGAGCACTGTGCAAGGCTGGAGTAGAACTTTCTCACTTGTCTCACTAAGCCCTTTTCTCTGGGTTAGGTTTCTGGGTGAGACTGTGTCTGTGTGAGTTGAAATGCAGCTTGGATTCAACTCTGTGCTTTCATAAAAGAGGAAAAACATTATTTAGAGGTGTTTAAGAATGATGTTAAGCATCAGGATGAAAAGTAGATTCCTGAAGCTTTCTGTCCTGAAGGTGTAGTTGATTTTTAAGAATAAGGAAAGCCCTTTGAAGGACTAAAAACTTTCCTCCAGGGTATGTGGTCGTACTGTCCTTATTAGACACTTGAACTTCTCTCAAAAAGGCTGAACAGAAAATTGTGCTTTTAAATTGGGTTGGGTTAGATGTGGCCTCATCTGGAAATAGTGACTTCATCTGTTGGACTATTGGAATTGTTTGCAGTTAGATAGGAAACTGCTAGCAGTTAGTGTGAAGTGGAGGATTAAAATATCTCATGTGTGATTATGTCTGAAACTCAGTTGAATAGAAAGTACAAGAAGCAATGGCAATCTACAGATAAGCTTTTGAAGTCATTGTGCCACTTGTAGAAGTAAATACCACAAGGGTCTGTATGACTTTGCTATGTTTCCTGAATTGTGCTGTTAATAATTAAAGGATTATTGTATATCAAATAATCTGTAAGAGCTGATGAAATAGCTGTTTGTTAATGTTAGTCCCAGTTCCTGAAAAAGCAAGTAAGTTGGTTTTGTATTGTAATTCACATAAAAGCAGTGATTGCTTAAAAATTCCTCTTTTTTTGTAGCATAGCACCATCCTTCAACACTTCACTTTGGTGAAGGGTGCCTTAAAGATTTCTCAACACCAGAAGTTACTTTAGCATTCTTTGGTTTATTCCAGTAACCTTAAAAATGACAATACAGTTTTGTCTTCTTCTATGCCATTGTAAAATCTGTATATAATAATCCTGTTTCAATCAGGATTAAAGTGCCAGGCTTACTTTCTGGTATGATAGTGATGCAAAACATACCAAGAGTATTCTCAGACTTTCAATGCCTTCAAACCCATTGCAAAAGAAGTACCGGTCTCTCAGACAGGCTGAAACTCCAGCTCTGGGGCTTGGGAAAGCCTTCAGAAAAGAGTATCCGTCTTTGGAAACTCTGCAAGACTTTTTTCTTCTGTTCAGATCCACTGATACCTTTGCTCAGAATTACCCAGAAAGCAGCTATAGCTCTAATTGTTTCCTTGTGGCTTTGGACAGACAGTATGGCTCCAGCTTTTCTATTGCATAGCTGGGGTGAGTCTGGCCTAATAGGCTCTGAAATGAAATTGGTAGCCAGAATAATTCACTGATTCTTGTATCTGCTGTCACAGTATGCATTGACATGAAGCTTTTCACGTATATGATTGTTACACAGCTTCAGCTGAAAGCTGGAAATTGAAATGTTTCTGATCAATGCAACAGTCAATGCTGCAGTCAATGGTGTCCATAGGACAGCATGTTTATTCCCCTGCTGCCACCTCTGTCTGGCCTGTAGAGCACCGTGTAGTGAGTTGAAGCTTATGAACAATATGCTTGTTTTTTCTCAAGTTACTCCTCTCAGACTCCATAGAAGTACTCACCATAATGCAAAAGGAAAACATATCCTATCAATAAGCTATATGGATCACTACTGTGCTCCATAACTGAAGGTTTTTTCCAACTTAAAGCTGTGATTTAATACAAGGGGTGTAGCAGGTACTTCTGGGCATCTCTTTCTGTGTTTCTGACCATGGGCAGCAGGATGATCTTCCCTTTGCACAACTTTGCAAGTGTGATGAATAGGCTGCTTTGGAGATGAGTGAGGTGCATATACCAATTCAAACATACCAATTAGTTTTTTTCTTAAAAACAATTTCAGATCAGTTCTTCACTTACTTAGCTGTTGGTAGAATGGATAGCCACATGTTGCTTATGGCCAGAGAGAGAATTGTTTACAGTATTGGGGTGGGAGTCCTGACTGTGCAGTTATACACCAGTAATACAATCAGGGCAGCTTATTCTAAGTGACAGTGCATGTGTTTCTCTTGTCTCTAGCTTCTTGGTTCTAAAACTAGATATAAAAAAATTGTTACAAAAAGGTTGTAGACAAATGGAGGCTTGAAGGGACTTCAAGGTGCACCTTCTCCTTCTTTTGCTTCAATTCAGAATTGTGTTTGTCTGAACCATCCCTGACATCTGAGGGTATTTTCTTTTATATGTGGAGTAGGATCTAGTTCTTGAACCTTCCATATAGAGATTTCACAACCTCCCCATCATTTCTAGTATTTGACTGTACTTAATATAAAATTTCTTCCTTGATGCAAAGGTAGGACTTGTTCTTTTCCCCTCCCATGTAAAAGCAAATACTGTAGATAGGAAAATACTTTTTGAAAAGTAGCTTATGGATTCACAGCTCAAACATACCAGTATTGTACTGGTAATGCTCAGATTCTGGAACTTTAGAATTTTGTTCTGCTTATGTTTCTGAATAGTATTTTGCACAATCTAAACTTCTCTTTTTTGCTTTTGACCACTCAGTTTCTCTGATAGCATTTACGACGATAGCTTTCCTGACTGTAATGGAGTTCATGGTGTATCGGGACACATGGATGAAATATGAATATGAAGTAGACAAGGATTTTACGAGGTAATTCCTGTTCATTGTAATTCCTTTTAAAATTTAAGTTGTCTGCATTTAGGAAAGAATAGGTTTAAAATGTTTGTGTGACCTGCAAACAGCTTATGATTTAAATTAAAAATGAAGTACTAACGGGACTTGTTTTTTCTTCTGTTGATTGATTGGGGTTTTTTCTTTTCTGGAATCTATGAAGAAGAGAAATGGAGATTTCTGCAACAAGGAAGTCAACATAGTATAGGTTTGTTGGTGAAGGAGTCCCTTGAGGAATTACTTGCTAACAAGTCAGAGGACATTGTAGTATGTAACTCCACCTCAGCTAGGTAAACCCACCAAATTTGCATGATGCTTACTCTAGTTTATATAGCTGTTATTGCCCTTATACTTTGTGCTGCTGGAGGTGAACCTCAAGCACTCAGAACTTTGACTGCATTATCTAAAGGTTTCTACTGATCTTGTCTCCAGTTCCAGCCCCTGAAATTGGCTGAAGGTACATCTGCTGCTGGTTTTATGTCTGTCTGTGTTCACCTTTCTTCTCAGGTGATCAAGCAGCCATGAGCCCATGAGGATTTTATGCACTGACCACCTTTAAATATCATGTATCTAGAACAGAAATAAATTTAAAAGCTGTTTGATAAGTTGTTGTGGAAACAAGCTAAAGATACATATATTAATTGGGTATCTTGTACATCAGAAATACCAAAGGTTTCTGTAATGAAAAGATAAAAACTATGAGAAATTTAAGGGAGATGCATTAAAAACTCAAATTAGAGTAAATCCAGATGGGAGTTTCACATTTCGAAAATGTCTTTTTTGACAGCATCTTTGCCAAAGTAGGTTATTTCCCTAGTGAAGCTATCATACAGGAAGGGTAGTCTAGCAGTTTAGAGACTATTATGGGATGTGGGAGGTGTCCTGCTTCAGATTTTCCAGTTGGACTGTGGGCTAATCACTCAGCCTGCAGTTAAAACAATGGATATTGGTATCATTTCAACTGCTTTCCTCCTGTCTACTGATCATGTCTCATCCCAAGTTGAGTCAGTGTTGAATCCCTTGCTTATGTGGTTAGTTGGTGGTCAGCTAAGTTCCCAGAAGCTCCTGGGGGGTGATAGGACCATGTGATTATAGTGAGAGCATTCATTAATTACGGTTTAACTTTTGTGAAACTAACATGTAAACCAATAGGAAATACCCAGAATATTGGGGAGTGCCACAGAATCAGGCTTCTGATATGATGGAGTTTTTTGGGTTGTGAGGAAGAAGTATGTTTTACCTCCCCTCATTATGGAAATATTCTGGATAAAGATCTTAACATACAAGGCATTTTGCTATTATAATATGGGATTGGTTTTGAGAAAATAGCTTTTTCCAGGAGCAGTATTAGCAGAACCAACAATCTTTATGACATAGCAGGATTTTCTGGGAACTGGCTTTAGCAATTTCTCAGCCTGATTCTGAATGTCACTGTTCTGAGGAACTCTGGTTAGGAGTGGAAATTGAGTGGCCTATCTTAAGGACAGGTAGGAGAAAGGTGCTCGAGTATTTAGTCATGTTTAGATTTGTGACTCCTGAATTGTCCTGATCCACTGCATTCTGTGGAATTTATTGCACTGTTGCATGAGGGGGAAAAAAAAAGTGTAAAATATTGGAAACTGTATATTCTTAATAAGAGACTGACAAAGTCTTGGGCCAGTAATATTTGCAGAAAATCTGTTGGGAGTTTCAGAGTAAAATTCAAGAGGGAAATCCGATGCTTTTATCTCTTCAGTAATGAGTGGCCGTAAGTACATCTGATAATTAAAAGTCCATCTTGATTCTCCCGAATTTTAAACAGCTTAAGTTTGTATTGATGTAAATTTTATTGTTTGACTGTGTTTCTGTAAGTAATCTGAGAATGTTGGTAATACATCTTTTGATACTTGTACTCAATGTTACTTATCAGCTTTTTTCAGCTTTTTGCCCTTTTTTTTTCTTTCCAGTAAGTTAAGAATCAATATTGATATTACAGTTGCCATGAGGTGTCAATGTAAGTATTCCATCAGTGAGTTTTGAAACACTTTAAAGGCTCTTCAGAGTATGCATTTACTTGCAATATAGTTGGATGTTGTTCAGAATACTCTTAACAGTGAGATTTCTTATGATTTTGGTGTTGTATGACTCACAGAAAGAATTGGTAGGAGATGTGAAGAAAAGTATTTCTGCCATCTCATTCCCATCTTGCAGAACTTTGGTTTGTCTGTCAGCAAGAAAAGCATCTGTTGTTCCAGTCTGTCTCTAGCTGGAATATTCTAAAAGCTCATTGTGAGACACAGCTCAGTAGCAGGAATTTATCACAACTTTTATTTATTTATGAACTTGGCAAATATTAACCTGGTCTACTGTTTAACAGTACTGGAACCATGAGGTAATTTCATCCTCTTCATGAACATATGGATGCCTTCCCATTTCAAGACAATGCTTACTATAATTTTGATATCATTTAGGTGTGGTACATCAGTGTGTGTTAAAAATTTCCATTTATTGGATTTTTATTTTTTTTTTTAGTTTGAGAAATAAGTGAAACTTTATCCTCTATTTTGAATAGTTTTGGTTTGTGTTCAGTGCTTACGAAACAGGAAAAAATATTTATGCATAACAGATCCTGGAAAGCTTTTATATGTGGTTCATATAACAGTTCTCTGTAGGTGTTACATCAGTGAGAAAATACTGCAGATATGAAGAGTTTGTTTCTGGTCACTGCGTCAGTTAATGTTGAAGGTTAGATTGGTTGAAGAAACAGTAACTTATACTGAAAGTTCACTGTACTTGGAAACTTCATTTCAATTGAACTGTTTTTTGTTTGTTTCTGATCATATGTATGACTTCATATTTTTCTCCCTGTTCAAAACAGATGTGGGGGCTGATGTTCTGGATTTAGCAGAAACAATGGTTGCCTCTGCAGATGGGCTGATCTATGAACCAGTAAGCTGATTCTTACCTTTTTACCTAAAAAGGAAATTGCTATTTGCTTGGTGCAAAGCACTGCTGGGCTGATTTGCTTGCTTGTGGAGTTTTTTTTCACCCCAATTGCACTGCACAGAACCCCTCCCCAAGTATTGTCTCACCCTTGAGTGAGGTCTGTAGCGCTTACCCCAGGAATATGCTAGGGAAATAGGCAAGCACTGGGATTTCTGTTAAGAAAGTTGCAAGAGCTTCAGGAAAAGATGCCAAAGTTACAAATGTAAATGAGTGAATAATTCAGGGGACACACAGAGAGAAATTTCCATAGTTGAACACTAAATGTATTATTTAAAGTGCAAAGTCCTTTCATAAACTGCAGTAAGTGGTACCAAGTGTGAAGTTGATTATAACTCCCCCTTCTTCCCACACCCCAATTCTTTTCTGGGTTTCATGGGTGGGACCTCAATGTTTCTTGCATGTTTTATTAGATGTATTATTTTTGTTTCAGGTAGTATTTGATCTCAGCCCACAACAAAAAGAATGGCAAAGGTAAAGTACGGAGTTGCATGTCTATGGGTTGTATTATTTTTACTGGAAGTGACTTTGAGGTACACCAAAGTCACATGACAGAAGTATGTCTTGGGTCTGGCAGCTTCTGCTTGTAATTTAAGGGTGCAAACCTGTGAAAAGATAATAATTTTCTTTGCCTTTCTCATAATTTGAGACCTTTGTTATGGAAAAAAATTGCTTTGGTCTTATTTGTGGAATCGGTCATGCATTGCAAGCCAAGATGTATAGGCTCACTCAACTTACGTTTCCAAACAAATACTTGGTAGTGCAAGTTTTAATTGTGGTTTCAGATGCGTAACAGAGTTTGGTGCTTATATGTCAGAGCTGAACCATTGTAAGAAATTGGCAAATTCTTGCAAAAGCGAATGAGTTTGAGTCTTTCCTGTAAGTGAATTGGCGCACTGTTTATGATTTAAACTAGAATAGCTTGGTCATGTGTGTGCTCACTACACTGATAGTTGTGTAACAGAACCTGAAGCTGGCTAGTTTCAGTATTTTGGTAACAGACTGCTGTGACTACCAGAGCTCTAAGCTCTGTATAAAATACCATTCTCAAAGTTTAATGGAAGCCTTTAATACCAGCATGAACCTTGCTAACTTCTTGATTTATATCCTGCAACTGAAGCTGATAACTAGTTGTGAAGTCATTTTTTGCTTTACTGTTGCATTCTTTCACACTTTGTCTGTGTAATCTTTAGGATGCTGCAGCTAATTCAGAGTAGGCTGCAGGAAGAACACTCTCTTCAAGATGTGATATTCAAAAGTGCTTTTAAAAGTGCTTCTACAGCACTGCCACCACGGTAAGAAATACTGGATTTTTGTGTTATCATTCCCCCTTTTCCCATCCTATTTAATTAGACTTCACTTTTTAGTGTGGTTGTTTTGCACCCTCCTCCCCCCCTGCCCCCAGATAAGGTAAGAAGAGAAGACCTTACTGCTTTTTTTTTTTTTTCATTTTAAAGTAGCATACTTGATATTGCTTTGGAGAGCTGTTTTATGAAAGCCTCTTTGGTTTCCAACCTGGAGAATGTCTCCAGCTTTTGTGTTTGTATTTATAAGTATGTGCATATACATAATATGAACACTCCTTTTTAGTCCATTTTATCTGATGCTTCCTCCTTAATGTGAATTAGTAATGCCAAAGCAATTCGAAACTCTTCTTTTTTAAAAATGAAAGAATATCTTTCTGTCCAGCAACTTTTAAGAGTCTTACTATTAGCTGTGACTAAATAAGCAAACCATAAATAAAATAAGCAAAATAAGTCAAGCAAAATAAAATCCAAAGAAGCAAACTATATATAAAACAAACACTGAAAAGGCTGTATGCACTTTACATGTTGTAACTTCCCTGTCTGAGGACCAAAGACATCCTTTCTTCCTAAGGCAAGGCTGAAGAGGGCTCAAAAATGTTTTGGGTTTTTTCTTTCCTCATTTAGATGATGTCTTCAGATTAATTTAAGTCCTTCTGTGCCTCTGTGGTACTTGTTAGTGCAGTATTTGAAATGGTACTTATGCTTGAGATGTGGTTAAAAAATATTTTTTTGTGTGTCATCTCTGTAAGGAGCAGATTTGGAAATATGCTCTGAGGTGTGGATATCTCAACAAGGGTGGGAAGAGGAAGGTTTCACAAAAAATGAATGTTTAAAGCTGTTCTTGCTACAGTGTTGTTAACGTGACTGATGTGTTTTGTTCTGTTCATTGTAGCATTAAAACTTCTCCAGTGAACCATTTTTGGTAGAAGTAATTGGGGAAAAAAAAAAGTCCCCCAGGGCAGCAAGATACACTGACAGTCTTATGTTTTCTGTGCACATGTTCAGGTATCTTAAGTTAGCTTCGTAGGCCAGATCTCTTGGTACAAACTAAAGCTTACTGGTTTCATCAGACTGACCTTTATTAGTTTCCCTCCTTTCTACCATCTCTGCTGTAATTTCAGAAGAATACGATGAGGAGAGGTAATGATAATGTTATATAATGATAATGCTGGGAAAAAGAAATCTAACTATACTGCTATTTCTGATAGACAGTGAATATTCTCAAGTACTCTTTATGCTGTTTTTGTTTAAACAGGGAAGATAATTCATTACAGTCTCCAGATGCATGCAGAATTCATGGCCATCTCTACGTCAATAAAGTGGCAGGGAATTTTCACATAACAGTGGGCAAGTATGTTCTGTTGAATTCCTGGAAATAAAAGAATTGACTTTACATTCTATATAGTGCATGCATGTATGTATGTGAGTGCATGTGTGTATGTTTTTACACTTTTGAGTTATCGACTCTTTTTTATTAACCTTCCCATACACATGCTTAATATAATTTTTCCTGTGGTAGCTGTTCTTGCACGTTTAAAACCAGATTGCTTTGTAAGTTACTAAAACAGTGCACTGCACTATTGCAATGTAGTGGTTATGGATTCCGGTGTTTTACAGGATGAAAACTCTTGAAATAGATCCTCTGTAAGTGTATGATGTAGAGTGGATTGCTTGTACTTGCCTCCACTCTTCGGGCCTGTCCAAACTTCTGTTTTCTGTTAGTATGCAGTTCACTGACATGGTTGAAGTGTAGATACGTGGCATTTCATTGCTGAGATAATATAGTTATAGAACCATAGTTAGGGAGCTAAATGCCACTTCATCTTGATTAGTGGAGAGACTTTCTGATATGCTTCAGCAGTGGCATCAGCTTATATACCCTTCATATAAACTTCTGTTAAGTCTTCTCAGTGCTTTCTACCTCTGCTGTCCTCACTTGTCTTCCTGCCATCTCTGTCACCAGAGATCTTAGCACGCAATGTGTACTCTCTAATTTTATCCACATGTAATTCCAGCTGCTGTTTTGTCTGGATATTTCTCCAAATGTCACTTCCGTCTGGTCTTGTACCACCTCTCTAATTTGCCCCTAGATGCCCAACTTCTTAAGCCCTTTTCAAAGCTGATCCTTTCAGCCTTACTGCCTCTTCCTGTCTCTAGTTCTTCAACTCTTAATAATGTCTTGCTTTCCTTTGCTTCCTTTTGCCCATCATTACATTTATACTTCTACCAAGTTGCTCTTTGTCTTCTTGTGGTTTGGTGTGAGGGTTTTTTTATGGCCACTTTTGTACCTTATTGTCTGGTTATTTACTGTGTTCCTGTCTTGACTGATCTCATGGGCTCTCTCTGCCTTCTGTTTGTCCAAAACTTTCATGCATTTGGTAACAATTTAACTTGAGCCTAAGTAGGTTTTTTCTTGCGTTGTTGGCTGGACTGGTAGGGATGAACTGTGGCTGAGAGACTGTTTTACAGTCTGTTTCTTTCAGACAGACTTACTCTTTTTCCTCCACTCTTTGCACTGTTACCAGCCTCTGCATGGTACTTTTCTTTGCAGGTCTACAAATAAGTGTCCAGATCCAAAGTTAATTTGCTTAGTCAGGGATCAAATACAGAGTGTAGTTGACTTGCTTAGTAGCAAAACAAGTATAGTAAAGTTCTCATCAGTCACTTGAGCAGTTCTGCAGATTTTCATGGTAGGCCTTGGTGGTTCTTCTAGTAGCCTCATGGTTTGATGTGTTTTTGACACTGATTCTATGTAAGAGGGTTTTCATGAGTCTGCTGTTCCTGTACCTTGTCATTCAGGCTGTCTGTGCTTGGCAGTAATAAAAACGTCATTTTTGTTTTTTATATAGACACACACATTTTACATATATAAGAGTTTCTAAAACATACATACATTCTATATATTTGAACAGGTTATACATATATATAATACGAATATATGCACATATTTTCTACATACATATATGAAAAGCGTTTACTGAAATAAGGAGGGAGAGGTAATTTTTCTACATAGTCCCGTTTAGGAAAATTTTGTCTTTTGTGTGGGTTCGTGAAACAGATTTTTCATAAAACATATCTTGCTTTCTTTAGGGCAATACCACACCCTCGAGGCCATGCACACTTGGCAGCCCTTGTAAGCCATGAGTGTAAGTTTTACCTATCATCTCCATATGAACACCTATCATTTTGTTCAGACTGCTGTCTCCTAATTTACATGTTAATATAGGTTTCTGTTGTAAAGATGTTCTAGCTGGGCAATTGCATCATAGAAGAAAGTGAAAAATATTCATTAAAATGATCTGAGACAGCAGTGACTTCCATACGTTTAATGCTGTTAGTATTATCTTCAGGTACTTTGGACTGAAATATAGGAATTTCATATTGTACCTGTGTAAAACAAAGTACCTCTAAGATTTTTGTGTTATTGCTGTAGATGGAACATATTTCCTGCAAAATATGTTTTTAGAAGGTTAAAAATTTCTGACCTTTTTAGGTTACAAGTCTACAAACTAAATGTGTGTTGCTGTCATACTTAATGCAAGGCGAGGGTGATTCACTGTGAGAAATGAACTTGGTGTTGGTTAAACCTCCAGATGTCTGCCCATGAATCTGTTAACACAAGTGTATAATATTATAGGTCTTAAATACTTTTGCAAAGTCAGGCAAGGGTAGTAGCTTGGAAGTTGCCTCATGTTTCCTCTGTACGTTTAATTTATGAAATTTAGGCTTTTTAATATCATCACATCAAGAACCTGAACTATAGAATAAAGTAAGTATTTGGCCAACTAGAAATTTCCTGTCGTAAAATTTTAACTGTCTTCAGCTCCAGGGTTTCAGATAGAGTTAGAATTGTTTCATAAGTTCTTTCTAGAGAAACTGAATTTCTTTGTTAAATATTTTGTATTTGAGTTTTGCTTGAAACATGTATGTACATGATACAGTCACAGGCACAAATCCAATAAAATGCACACCAGTGTTTGAAATACTCTTAACTAATACATTTTCCAATTTGAGAAATGTGTGCATCTTTTTCTCTGAGTACAGAATCTCACAGTTTAAAAATGTTTCATTTCTCTGTATTGTCTTTCAGCCTATAACTTCTCTCATAGAATAGATCATTTGTCATTTGGAGAGCTTATTCCAGGAATTATTAATCCTTTGGATGGAACAGAAAAAATAGCTTCAGATCGTAAGTGTTGTGTTTTAAAAAAAAAAATCTTGTTTTCTCTATTTTTCCAATAATTACATTTCAGGTATTTGTGACTAGAGGAAGGGTTTATGCATCACTTTTCCTTATGTATAAATAAAGGAGTATAGTAACCTACTTCATAGAGCTACTTATACCTTATCCTCTGACTTGCCATCCCCAGAACCTTCTAAAACTGCCGTTGTCTCAAAGTCAGTTGGTCTGTTGTTTATTCCAGCCAGAATGGCTTATGGTAGTTGAAATAAATTGTTTCAGTGTTTGTTCTTTTAAAGAACTGCATGAATACATAATGCAGTCATAAATGCATAAGCATGCTGATTGCTCTAGAAGAATTCTTTGAGGTCTGTCTAATCAAAATTAAAACTAACCAGTTTAGAAAGGCTTCCAGCATTATATAGACAACTCAGTGGCTAAAATCTATTCAAACCACCGTTGAGATGTGTGTATCATGCAGAATGTGACTATGTGAAACTTGTTCACTTCTAGTGCCTGGAAAACACTATCTCTGTGTTTTGTTTGAAGCTTTGAGTGGTCTGACCTTGATAAGTCTTTTCATTACATAAAGTGTAAATGTAAAATGTAAACTTCTCCAAGTACAGATGTGGTGCAGGCCTTGTCCACAAAAACTAACTTTCTGCATGCAGATGGTGCTGAAGTAGTCTTGGCAGTGCTGAGACTCCTTGAAGAACATCCCCAGTGTGAATGGCTTAGCTGATTAACTATTTTAAATACTGTTTGTTTGATTTGCTTGTCTCAAGTGGTCTATGACTCTGTACTTAATTCAACAGTGAAATTTGCTTTCTTCTAGACAACCAGATGTTCCAATATTTTATCACAGTTGTGCCAACCAAACTCCACACGCATAAAATTTCAGCAGAAACGCATCAATTTTCAGTGACAGAAAGGGTAAGTAGAAGAGAAAACAATACAGGGAAAAATCTAACAGTGATTGTTCTCAACAAAAGCTCAGAAGTGAAAATGGAGACTTAGTTGTGCTGTGGTTTTTCCTTTTAGTGTGAAGAGACTCTTTGGAATCTGATACTAGAATTAATGATAGATACCCAGTCATTTCCACTTCACTGGATGTTGGGGACATTCTGTTAGGTTTAGCTCTGTAACCTTGTGTGTAGCTTTATGAACATTTAATCCACCTTTAGCTTTTTATACGTGTGGGAAGCAAACTGAAAAATGAAGCTCACTTGAATGTCATGACCTTGTTTGTGGTGTTAGAAATAGAAACAAAGGTAGTTTGTATGAAAAACTAATCACACAGAAAGCATCTCTGTCTCGGCTGTCTTGTTTAACCTTTGTTGAACCACCAGCTTCAATTATTCTCCAGATTAGAGAGCTTCTGCTTCTGGTCTTGGAGAGGCTTTTTATTCTTAATCCGTAAAGAAAGTACCTATTGCAGCCTGGTGCATGGGCAAATCATAATTTATTAATTTTAAAGGCTGCTGTAAATAAGAAAAAGATTTTACCTTACATGTCTTATTTCCAGAAACCAAACTCTGTTTTGATCTTTTATTCGAAAGCCAAAGAAATAAAAAATCTTTGCAAAAAATATAGTTAAAAACAATGAAGTGAGAGGTAAGAAGCAAGCCTTGGGTTGGAAGGAAAGTCAGAGATTAGGATGGCAGTTCACTGTGATACAGTTTGTGGTGTTCTCCAAGGGAGAAGCCTTTATTTTCTCACAATTCAGTGCTGTGCTTCTGAAAAATACATGGCTAGGGCAAGTAAGAAGGAGGTGGTATCTTGGTGTTCAACTTGGGACGTGCGGACTGCTGGAGGGAAAGGTTTACTCTAAAACTCATGAAAGCTGGAGTAAAGAGGAATGAAGAGGAATTCCATAACGCAGTATACTCCCACCTCCTGCTAGTATAACAGTCTGCCTTATGTTTTCTCTGTACAATCTCTGGAACAACTAAAGCATTCCTTAATCTTCTGGATGTCAGTCTGCTGCTTATCTAAATCCTTACTGCATTTTTTCATCTTGTATTCAGTTTTCCTCTCCTTCTGTAAATATGGTTTCTGTCAATTAACTTCAGTCTTAGTTAGCTCTGTCATATTTTTTGTGGGGGTGTATTTTTTATGAAGGCAGCAACATACAGGTAGCTTAGGAGAAAACCTTGTGAATAGTGGAGGTAAAGTAGTATTACATACTTGCTTTTGCTGTCTCAGGAGGTAAACCTGTTGCCTGTAAAACTTGTTTCTTTGGAAGCCAACTACCCCTAGCAGATGAGCTGGAAAAGGCTACTGATAACAGTTATTCACTGAACAACTTAGTGCATTTATTTTGTAAGAGCAGGCACATAAGCAGATGTGGCAAAAGGTGGTCAGGTAGCCATGGCTAAAATATGAATACAGTGGGGCTGAATTGCCAGCAGTGAACAGAGTGGGAAGTAGAGTTTGAAAGGTGTGGGCGGAGTAATTTCCACTGCTGTTGCTGTTTGAGATACTGTGTTTGTTTATGTTAAAAAATACTTAATTCTAGCAGGGCTTCATTGAGATACCTGATGCAGGATTAGTTATTTTCAGCAGGTTTTGGCAATCAAAGCTTAAATCTGCAGAAGTTAGAAGCAGACCAAAATCATCTGTGGAAGAATTATATATCTTTTGAGGGTGGAGTTTTGGGCATTCTATTTAATTTCTTATTCTTTTTTCACCATTTGACCTCGAAAGACCAGTAAGACTTAGAGAAACAGCAGAGGAAGAATAAACAAAAACCTTTTTGTCCTTTGCCAGGGACAAGGTTCCGTTTAACTACACTCAGTCTTCTCTTCCTTCTTAGTATGCCTGATCATCCTTCTTCTAATGCTGACTTGTCATGCTCTTGAGGTAGAGAAAGCATTGCAGAGTTTCTATGACTGATACATTGTTTTGGCACCCCTTTTACTTAGGTAGCAAAAGAAGCGTTATGGTTTATGTCAACATTAGCTGACTGAAGAAGTTGCCTAGTCTGTACTTTTCAAAGTGCAATTCTGCTTTTTATTTTGTACTTTATTCTGCATGGGTTTTGAGCACAGACTGTTAAATTTACAGATGAAATGGAGCTGTGATACATTGCTTTTCTGCTCAGTCTTATTTGTCTGTCTTCTCGGCTCTTATTAGCCTAGACATAGCTGAGTTTGTCTTCAGTCAGTTGTGTTCTTTTCTGCTGCCCTTGTACATTTTCAGCCAGCCTTACCTGGCAGTGCATTTATCATCACCTTTTACTAAGAACAAAATTATAGCAAACTTTTGAAAGAAACTTAAGATTGTGTTGAGGTTTTTTCTTATGAAACCTTTTTTTAAAGTAGAAATTTTATAGTAGCCACATTCTTCTCGTCCTCCTCTTTGGTGTCTTTTGGTTTAAGAATCTGGGCAAATGAGAAGAAAATGCAGAAGTTCTTGGATTAGGACTGGGACATCTCATCTGTTTAGAGTAGTCAGGGTGAGTTACTATTCATATTGAGGTGGATTTCTTGCTGTGTGACTGTTTGAAATGACCTGACTGGTGTCTAAGTTACCTTTTCTTACATTTTACCAGTTAAAGGAAAGGGTGCAGCCAGAAACAGACATATCTTGCAAGTAAGTTTCTAGCTTCGTGACTGGTGCAGTTGTGAGGGGTTTTGTACCAGATAGTACCAGAGCACGATAGTGAACATCACTATGCAGCACAGAAGACCAGTAATCAGGAGAGTGTTATTTAGCGATGTTTGACTCTTAGAAGATACTGGCCAAAGTTACCTCCATGTTCCCTGACCTTCTGTTGATTGTTAACTCTGATTAAGTGGTTTTATGTCATCACATCTATTAGGATTGTTTTCCTTGGGACTAATAAGAAGTGACTAACTTGTGTTTCTCTTCTTTCAGGAAAGAGTAATTAACCACGCAGCTGGCAGCCACGGGGTGTCAGGAATATTCATGAAATACGACATCAGTTCACTGATGGTGACGGTGACAGAAGAACACATGCCTTTTTGGCAGTTCTTAGTGAGGCTCTGTGGCATTATTGGGGGAATTTTTTCAACTACAGGTAACTATCAGTGCTTTCCTTCTTAAGTTCTATCAGAATGTTTTTTTTTTGGTTATGGTGATTGTGTTATGGGTAAATTTTGGAGGACTCCTGAACCTGTAGCAGGTTGAAGATGAAGTGCCCATTGTGTGCACTGAGATGTGCAAGGAAAGCTATTCTTTTGATGTCCCAATATGCTCTTTCTGCTGTTCTGAGGGCTTGTTTCCCTTTTGATAACTATAGCATAATTTATTTACCTCCGGAAGAGCAAGTGTGTGGGTATCTATACACATATACACACACACTTACTGACTTATGATATTCTGCATATTTCCTATAGTTGGAATCCAATACTAAATCAGTGCCAGAAGTTGAGATGAAATTTTTGTCTAAAGTAACTGGGAGGATTTTCCTTGTCTAGCTTGTCAATGTACTGCAGGATTTGCTCCTTCAAAGAAAATAAACTAAGTTGAAAAGGCGTACCTAGTCAAGATATAATAGGATATCTTGATTACAAGTTAGTTCTTCCCTTGGCTTTCATTTCAAGAAAGCATAGTGAAGAGACCTTGAAGTAAGCTGCCTTTCAGAGTAGGTATTTCTGTCCCACAGAAGGTATTTTCACCCATGAAGTTTGGGGAGAGGGGATTAGATGTGCTTGGATAGCTTTGGTTTTGCTTTCATTGATGCATTTCAGGATGTTAGAATTCCCCCTGCCCTTGATCTTATCTTTTCTTGATGTTAATTTCTCAGAGCTTTACATACATGTTTATTGCACTGTTTCCTATTTAAGTACCATGGAGAGTTTTCTTGTAATACTTCCTGTAAGTACTGCAATTTTACTCCTTGTGACAATGCATATCTTGTTTGGCATTGCAGGAATTTTACATGGTTTTGGAAGATTTGTAGTAGAAGTTATTTTTTGCCGTTTCAGACTGGGCTCTTACAAATCCACATCGGTAAGAAAACCTTTCTCTAAGTATTAAATAAATGGTGCAGCTACCTGAGGACAGATGATTAAGGACAGCTTTGGGACTCAGGCCTAGCAGAATTTAAGATGCTTGCAACAAACCCTCCCTTTGACATGCATATGAGCACAGACTGAACAGCTTCTAAAAACAGTTGGAAAACCTGACATGTAAGGAAACAAGGGTTTTCTAAGAAGCAGACTTAATGAAACTGAGTCTCTTAGAAGTTTGTCTGCTACATTCCCTGTATCATCCTCATTACCTTTTTATTTTCGTATTGCTACAAAAATACTATGTTTTCCCAGGCCTCATCAGGCTCTCTCATGTATTCTTCTTCTGCTTGGCCAGCTGACCACACGAGAGGCACCGTGTGCTGCAGGGAATCAGTGTTGCTACTGATTAGCCTGCAGGCTACTGCCAAGCAGTGTGAAACAGCTGAGCAGTCTTCACCTTTCCCTCCTCTGGGATTGCTCCTCTAGCAACCGCTTGCTTTAATTTTACTGTTTTCCCCATTTAAGCTTGTAGATAGGCTTTAAGATTTCTGCCTTCCTCTCCGATTTGAAGTTTGCCAGCTGGCAAGGTTATGTGAGTGGGGGAGAGGAGTGAAAGCAAGCAGATTTGTGTAGCTTTTGTTTGAGAGATCAGGCAAAAGGCATACAAGAAATGCCCAAGAATTAAGAAATGTGTGTTTTGGGGGAGGGAGGGGAGATACTGTTTCTGGACAAGCCATTGATAACACTTTGGTTTTGTTTGAATAGGTCCCACTTCCTGATGGCCACACAAGCAACCATTTACCTCTAATTACAGACAATAGTACGCATTAGCCTCCTGAGGAAACTTTCTTTCTTCCTGCCTGATACAGAAGACAATTTTTTATAATAAAGGAAACTTTGTGCAATATGCTGTGACAGTGCTGACGGGCAGCAAACAGTGAAGCCTTTACAGAAAAAAAGAACATCTGAACAAAAAAAAACCAACAAAACAATTTATGTAATTTTTTTTTCTTTCTAAGTGCACGTGGAGTCATAGGAGGTTGTGAGACGAGTGAGGTGGACCATCTTCTGGAGATTAAAGGAGCATTGCTGCCAAAACAGTACTCGTTGTTGAGCTGAACATCTTTGCAATGATTGCCATTGACACTGAAGCCTGAGTGATCTTGGTTCTGTGCCTGGGAAGGCTGGCAGACTCCAAGGAGAAAAGAGTGCAAGCGGGATGCGTGGAAGGGACAGGCAGCAGGCAAAGAGGGACAGGAGAAGAGCTGGGGTTTCTCCTGGGTGTGCAGGCTAGGGATTGGGTTTCCTTGTTCTTTTGTATTGATAGGGCTGGGGGCTAAGAAGTTGTTACTGGTGGGGAGTGATCCTGGAAAATCCTGGAGATGAGAGAACTTGGGGAGTAAGGTGGAGCCCAACTTGTGATGTTCATCGTAGCCGCTGCCTTTCTGTAGTCCTACCATTCCTTAGTGGAAGAAACAATGTGTGGAGCAGAGGAGTTCCTCTGTGTTTTCACACAGCTGCTTTGCCAGCAGTGAGAGTATCACATCTGCTGTTGATATGGAAGTGCCCGAGGACTCTGAGGATGGGTTCCAGTGTGCACTTTTTCTGACGTGGAATAAGAAGCCTTTTAAATAAGGCATTTGACATTAGTTTTGATAAAAGGCAAGACTCATCAGGAAACCTTTGTACACCTTTTTCTTGGTAAAGAAATTGCTTTGATGGAACCTTGGTTTTACTCCTGCTGCTAGTATGTAAGTTATGGTATGTAAATCCTGGAAATGGGGAGAAAGAAGAGCAAGAAACTGCCTTGCTTTGGTTTAGCTGAACACTGCAGAAACGTGTAATTTGTGGCAGTGCCCAGGCAGGGAGCGGTGGAGTTAGTCCATGGCTTCAGGGAACCTGAATCATTTTGCTGCAGAGAAGGGATCTGCAGAATTAATACTTACTGTTTATGAAGGTTTTTGTAAAATAAATGAGAGCAATATCAGTTTTATATTGTAAATACGCTACAGAGAATGAATGTTATTAATGCAGATGGTGCTTCGAGAAACTAAATATCGTCTTGCTGCTGAACTGCTGGCCTGCACCTGTGGTCACAGCTACTCCAGCAGGGTAAAAACATCATAATGTGATTCCTTCTCAGCAAAACTGATCTAATAATATATTAGGAGATGATGCTGACCCTGGCCTTACTCACCATGGAATGAATATTACAATTGAGAGGACTGAGTATGGAAAAATAAAAATCTCCGTGGTGTCAGATTTTGCTGAGTTCTGTTGATGTACTCGGCAGGACACTTGGATCTTGGTGATGAGCACAGTGTAAATAATGTCACTGATTTGCTATGCAAAGCAAAGGGCTTCCTAAACTGAGAAATCATGTGAAGTAGTAAATAAAATGTGGGAAATGAGGAAAGATCTTTATTGTTGAGAAAGACAGAAGTTCCAGGAAGCGGGGTCCTTGCGTTTGGCAGCCAGGTTTGGGGTTTTCTCTTCTGTGCTTTCGTTTAACACTGATTAGAACTGCAGCAGCTTCAGAAACTCTTGCCCTTGGCGAGCAAGAAAATCAAAAGCTGTACATTTTCTGTTCCCATTTCTCTTTGGCATTTCCCTCTGAGGTTTCTTCCTTACTTCTGCTCGGACTGGTTCTGCTTTGGGCTTTGTTCTGACACCTGTTTCTTACTTGCCTAGAACAGACTGTACTGGTGGGAGATCCTGATCTCAGTTGACTTTCTGTACCAGAACTGAAATGTTATTTTCTATTCTCACATAAAAGAGCCAAGTGGCTTGATGTGTCTTAAATCCTTGTGTGGTGTCTTCGTGGTGGTCTGTCAGGAACAAAGCTAGTGTGGTTTCTAAGGGAAGAATATTTGGGATCAGCTTCCAGATGAGAGATGCTGCATTGCAGGATGAATACAGGATCAGTTGAACCTGTGTTGCTGTGATGTTTTCTCTCCACAGAGGGGTTGGTTCTTACACTAGAACCACTTCTGCTTGTTCCACACATTGTCATTACCTTAACAAGCATGCTCCAAAGAAAATAGTAGTTTATAGCAGTGACTTTTTTTGGACGTGTTTATTTACATTGTGTAGAAGTGAATGTAGTATGGAAAAATGAAAGGAATGGATGTCCTAAGGGAAATGGAAACCCTGATGTTGACATGTGTCTTCTGATGGAGGCATAGATGAAAAAATACCATTTTTTGGGTCAGGAAACATGGTCAAAATTATGTATTTTTATCTTTGGCTCTTACACAATGTTGAGTAGAGAGGATGCAGGGGAAGAATTTTTGACCCCGTATACAATCATAGCACACTGTGTGCAACTACCCTGGTTTCCCATCCCCCTCAGCTGTCTTTCTGGGCAGAAAGTCTTCCCAGCTTCCAGCTGGGTGGTTTGGGTTCTGCTCCGCTCTGCCATGCTCTTGGGGCTGAGGTTGTGTTAGCAGGAGCAGGGACACCTTGGCTGCCTCCAGGACCTGGAGTGCTGTGCCTGGATGTGGGTGTCCCCACGTCCCTTGAGCTACAGCTCAAGTGTCTCATAACCCAGAAACCCAGCGCCAGCCCAAGAGGTGGGAAGGGGTGGGATCAGGTGTGTCTGCTTCTAGGGTCAAGAGGAAGCACGGAGCTGGGTCTTTAACAGCACAGGCCACCTTTGGCCCTGTCACCGTGAGCCAGAATCACAGTGTTGACAAGAAGCTGCTGTGAAATGTTTTGAGTTAAGATGGCACGCTCGGTGCTGTGCGCCTGGGTTTGTGACATAATCAGAGAAAGAAAAAGGCGAGGACATAGCCAGCCCTGGCACCTGCAGGAGTTCAGTAAGGGTGCTTGCTTGCTTGCTGCCCCATCCCTGGCAGTGTTCAAGGCCAGGTTGGACTTTGAGCAACCTCTTCTAGTGGAAGGTGTCCCTGCCTGTCGCAGGGGGGTGGAACTGGATGAGCTTTAGTCGGAACTGGGTGATCTTTGGAAGGTCCCTTCCAACTCAAACCATTCTGTGACTGTGATTTATGGTAGAGCAGAATATGGGACGGCGTGTTCACATGGGCATGGGAGGCTGTGCAGGGCAGGTGTTTGTTCTTAGGAGGAGGCAGCAAAAAGCAAACTAGCAGAGTAAAATCTGCTAGTTAGGTTTTTTTTTGAAGATGTGGTCAAACCCCACAGCTGTGAGAGAGAATTTTGGGTGAGGGGAACTGAACATGAGCTGCCAAGGGATGTAATTTATAATAATGCTGTCTTCTAGACAAGCAGTGTGCTGTGCTCCTGAGTCAGGTGAGGTGTGCGGTCCTGGGGGTATGTTAACAGCATGATGGGGCCTCTGGAAGTCAGACTGTGATGGGTCCTCCTGTACGCTGTGACTACTGTCTTCATGCTGCCTGTTGCTCCATCTTTTTTGCCACCTCTCTTGCCTGTTGTGGGACAGATGAGAAGAGAGTGAAGTGGGTGCATGAGTCGAAATTTCCCTACTTCAAGCTCTTTTCATTCTTTCCCTCCTGACTTTTCTAGCAGAAACGGTGAGGAAGAAATGCCTGTGTCTGCAGAGGGAAAGGGGTTGGGATAACCAATGTTCCTTTAAAAAGCAAACCCAAGCTGCTCTCCACTGCCCTGAAATCCTCATCCTAGAAACAGAGGAGTTACTGGAGAGGTAATTCATCTCTTTCCATCTCAGAAGCGCTCCTGCACTGTGGGTGCAGGGCCTGGCCTAGCTCTGCCCTGGGTGCCTGTTTGCATGCGTGGGGTGCTCTGTGGTGGGACAGGGAGATGGGCTGGCGGAGTCCATCCTGCATGGAGCTGGGCAGGGGCTCTCTCTCCTCCACTTGGCCCTGCCCCAGATCCTCTTGAGCTTTTCAGGGACACATTTGACAAGTGAGCCCCAAGCAGTCAGCACAGTTGCTTAGGAACGGTCAGAGGCAGATATATATTTGGTACAAATGTAGCTGTGATTAACTGCACCAATGAAGCAAGGTCAGGGAGGCAGCTGTTGCCTTGTCCTTTTTGCTATCTCGTTCTTTGTGAGAAGACACAGTACTATGGATGTGCTGTATAACCTGTTACTGACGTGGTCACATGGAAATAGGAGGGATGTGTCAGCTTGGTTACCTCTTGGGTGGCATTGGTGATACTAGAACTCCCTGCTCACTGTTTCTTCAGAGGTAACCGAGTGCTGCAGCTTGTTTTTTCTGGGAAGATGGGAAATGAGAACAGCTGGTTTGGGGATACTTGCAAAGATCTCTCTCTGCTTTTAAAAGGCACCCGAGAAAGCAGAGGTGTGTGGGGATACTGCGTGGATTGCTTACTCGGATTGGTGCTTAGTAGCAAAGTTGCTTCTTGTAAAGACACTTTTTTCTAACAACATGTAATTAACGCAAATCATGTTTAATATTTGGCCTTGGTGGTGATCTCTGGTGTCGAGAAAATATCTTTGCCTGCGTGTATAGTAATGTATAGTAGTTAATGCTTCAAGAAGCCTTAAAGGACCCTGCCTGAGGGTCTCTGCCTGCTGCTTTCAGTATCCTGGCAAAGGTTTAGTGTTGCAGGTCTGTCCGGCACCTGCACTTGCACGCCTCACTAGAGTGCTGGCATGTGTTTCAGCTGGTTTAGTCAAAATGATATGAAATGCTTCATCTTTCCCTCCTTCCATGGCTTAAGTGTCCTTTCCAAAGCATTTCTAGTTGCTGCTGATACTAAGACACTGGTGTTTCCATCTTTCAGCAGTGATAGGGCAACTGAATAGCAACAGCAGTTTTGTGCTTTGTTCTCCGAATGTGTTGGAGGGATGCCTGCGTGGAAGGAGACTGGTGCTGGTCAAAGCGGACACAGTCAAAGCCCAGAAGGCTTTTAAACCAGAGAGCAAAGTTTATTCAGGATAAAGCCTTTGACTGGAGAAAAACGGCTAGGTGAGGTGGAGCAGAACAGGAGCTCCTTGCCTCTGTGCCCTCGTCTCCAGGCCTGTATTTAGGCAATCTGGAGTCTTTCTGACCATCCCTGCTCCTCTCTGGGGACACCAGCATCCTCTCAGCAGGAGCCTCCCCAAAACCTCTGCCGCATGCTCCTTGTGGTGTGAGT